GTTATTCGGCTTGACACATGTTTGAGCAGGGGACTCCATGAGAGCTACAATGTGAATAAAACGTAATTATTACTGATTATAAGCAATGTAATCAAACATATATAAAATGGTATGGTCTAGTTTTATTCATTTCCACAAAGCTCTCATGTTCAACTCTTATGAAATACCGAGTTCGATACAAATTAATGACAGAAATACTCCAGCATATTTTGAGTTTTAAGTACTACTACTTAAACATGTTGACACACCCATAAGCTGACAGATTCTAATTAGTCTGATGATGCAATTTCTATATACTTATATGAAGAAGAACCAATAGAGTGAGTAAAAACAAATTCTTAGTAAAAGAATTAGCCAATTCTAATTAACAACTGCTAATCAAACTGCAAAAGCAACATATGAGTTTTTCTGGCGTCAAACACAGAACCAACAGAGTCAAAGGTCATCATATGCATTATGAGAAAAAAAACTCATTACGGTGTAAAAAATCATAACTTATAGTTAAACCAAAAAAAGTAAGAGACACACAATTGATGTTCTTTATGTAAATTTTGTGAACAAACACCTGCTGGTTTTGTCCAACGTGAGAAAATATGGAGTTCTCATTGAAGATTCATTGCTTGAGTAGTTTATTTATTGAAGTACTTTCTATTTTGTTGAGAAAATGATACTGTCATAAAAATAAAAAAAGAAATACATAACAGCGCAATCAAATAGTTTTTTTATGTTCTATACAGTCTGGTAGAAGGTGCCCGAATAAAAACAAAATGGATATCTGCAAACTTGTCCGAATCACATCAACTCTATCAATTACTTCTGAGATAGTAAAAAACCATGAAATTATGCTGTCACTGAAGACCTAACTACTGAAATCACAAAAGAAAAACAACCCATTTCATAAATTAATGAATGAAAGGAGTATAAAATTCAATCATAAACTAAGAAGAGTGAGAAAACATGTAGAAAGTTTTCTTACAAGAAAATTTGTATACATTAATAATTTAGTCCTCGGGCTTAAAAATACTATGTACTACACACATTATTGTAATCAATCGCTCAGATCATTTAGGAGGCAAAAACCAAAAGCCAAATTTTTTTTCATTTCATGCCTTGAAAACAGACGGTCTATACAATCCAAAAGGATATAGTACTACCTGAGGACCCTCAGATAACTTGAAGTGTATCCCAAGTGTGAAGGCTGTCAGCGAAATTGAACTCCTGGGTTAAGATGAGGGTGATCCACTTAAATGCATAAAATTGGGGATTGACCTGTAATTTAAAATAGGAGCCCAGTTAGTCCTATATAAAGAATTCTAGTGAAAGATATGAGCTATCTCATGAAAGAAATGAGCTGTTCACTAGCCTTATGAGCTGAAAATACCAAAACTCCATGTTGACTAATTTTTTTTAATGAGTCTAGCAATTTTTTTAGCTCGACTCATTTCACTAAAAAGCTGAGCTTAATTCAAATTATTTCGAGCATGTCTACAACCCCTATATGTGGTGCTCACTTTATGAAAACTATGATGTTGTGTTGAATGCAAGAAAGATTAATATGAAACAAGCGTACTAGGTCAATTGTATTCCAAATCCACAAATAAAAGACATCTAGCCATAGTTGAGAGATTGGAGGGAAACTGTTATAAAATTGGCTTGGGATACATCCGACAATCTGTCGCTCCTATTTTAGGCAAGTCTTTATCATTTCTTTAATAGGTATGAAGTTCGAGCTAGCTGCACAATGAGCCAAACATCATAATTTAGTATTGAGTTAGTCATTTACGTGAGTCAAACCTAAAATCTATCATTTACAAATAAAAAGAAATAACACTAGATTGTTGTAAATAAGTTGTTCTCGTAGAATGCGCAACACAGTACTAATAAAATGAGACGGACTTGACTCAATCTAATATTGGCCTAACTGGCCCATGAGGCTTATTTAAGGGCCCAAAGTTTTTTGGTCTAGGAAGGGGAAAATGATCGACAGATTTTGGGACTTGTTTTAGAAGACGGGTTTGGGTTTAAGAAACGGCCCCAAAACCCAAACTCTGCAGCTTCTTCTCGGACTCCTTTGTGCCTTTCTCAACTCTCGTCGTCTTTTTTCTCCTTGCAGCTTCAAAAGGTTTGGGATTCGTAAATTGGTTTGGATATTTGAAATGAAGTTGTATCAAAGCTTAAATCCTCGTGGAATTAAATTCTATAATATTTGGGTGTTTGAATTTGTAGGGGCTCATATGTCATAATGGAGATGAAGGCTCTTGACAGTGACAGTGGGTTCGGGGACAATGGCGATGTCAACAACAATGAGTTGAATGTTAGTTTGATTTGTAAATTCTGTTATTGGGTTTCGGTAATTATTCAGTTTGTTGTGGTGATTTTGTTGCTAATTGATGATTTGTGATGTAGATGGAGCAGGAAGAGGATGACTTTGATGGTGAGCATGATGGTGAGGAGGAGGAAGAAGAATCAGAAAATGAGGAAGAAGATGGAGAAGAAGTTGGGGAAGAGGAAAATGATGATGGGTAAAACGTTAATAAAGATGCCGAGATGGAAGAACTCGAGAAAGAATACATGAATCTTCGTCATCAGGAGCAGTAAGAGACTTCTGTTCACAAATCCTTTTATTTCTAAGGGTAAAGTACAAAAAACTACTTCAACTATTGGGTTCACGACAGTTTCATACGCATCTTTTAAAATTGACAATGTCATACCGCATCTTTTAAAATTGACAATGTCATACCGCATCTTACGAATTTGTGACAATATCATACCTCCGTTAATTTTTCTATTAGTTTTTCTGTTAAATGCTGACGTGGCAAGAGACGATGACCATTTTCTATTAAAAAATTAATAAAATATTATTAAAAACTAAAAAAAATATTTAATATTTTTTAAATATTAAAATAATAAATAAAAGTAAAATTAAAAAAAAGGCTAAAGTACAAAAAACTACCTCAACTATTGGGATCACGACAGTTTTATACCTCATCTTTTAAAATTGACTATATCATACCGCATCTTACGAATTTGTGACAATATCATACCTCCGTCAATTTTTCTATTAGTTTTTCTGTTAAGTACTAACGTGGCTTGATTCAGGACCTACTTTCTATTAAAAAATTATTAAAAACTAAAAAACAATTATTTAATAATTTTTAAATATTAAAATAATAATAAAAAGCAGAAAAAAAGACCCTCATTTCGTCCCTCCCCTCCCCCCTCCTCCCTCCTCTCTCCTCTCCCCATCTTCATCTTCTTTCCCCACCTGCAAATCCCAAAAAAAAAAAAAAAAAAAAAAAATCCAATTTGTCTTCCCCCCACACCCACACTCAATTTTCCCACACCCACACTCTTCTCCCTCCTGCAACCCAGAAAAAAAAAATTAAAAAATTAAAAAAAAACCCAGATCCCGTCGCCGGGAAGATGGGTGAGCAAAGAAGGTGGAGGATGGGTGCGGAAGAGGATGTGGAGAATGGATGAAAGTGGTGGATTTGGGGTTTGATGGGTTTTCAAAATATATATATTTTTTTTCCTTCTTTTTTTCCTCTTCTTCTTCTTCTTCCGCAGGGGAGTTGATGGTTTTAAAACTTCCTCCTTCTCCCTCTCCCTTCTTCTTCTTCCGCGCCGACAGGGGGGAATTTTTTTTTTTCCTTCCTCCTTTTTTTTCCTCTTCTTCTTCTTCTTCCTCCTCCTCCTCCTCCTCCTCCTTCTCCTTCTTGTTCTTCCGCAGGGGGTTGTTGGGTTTTCAAAATTTTTTTATTTTTTTTATTTTTTTGGGTTTGCAGGTGAAGGGAAGAAAATGAAGATGGGGAGAAGAGAGAGGAGGGGGAAGGGGGAAGGGAGGGACGAACTGATGGTTTTTATTTTTTATTTTTCTCTGCTTTTTATTATTATTTTAATATTTAAAAAATATTAAATAATTGTTTTTTAGTTTTAATAATTTTTTAATAGAAAATATGTCCCGAATCAATCCACGTGAGCACTTAACAGAAAAACTAACCGAAAAATTGACGGAGGTATAACATTGTCACAAATTCGTAAGATGCGGTATGGCATTGTCAATTTTAAAAGATGAGGTATGAAACTGTCGTGACCCCAATAGTTGAGGTATTTTTTTGTACTTTACCCTTTTTTTTTTAATTTTACTTTTATTTATTATTTTAATATTTAAAAAATATTAAATATTTTTTTAGTTTTTAATAATATTTTATTAATTTTTTAATAGAAAGTAGTCCCCGTCTCTTGCCACGTCAGCATTTAACAGAAAAAACTAACAGAAAAAGTGACGGAGGTATGACATTGTCACAAATTCGTAAGATGTGGTATAATATTGTCAATTTTAAAAGATGAGGTATGAAACTGTCGTTACCCCAATAGTTGAGGTAGTTTTTTATACTTTACCCTATTTTTAATTATAAACTTGTGATGCTTCATTAGAATGAAGACATCGAGCTAAATAATGTGACTATAGGAGATAATATGCATAGCAGTTGGAGGTTGGTGACAAAATTTGATATTAGTTTACAGAAGTCATTGAATAATGTAAATTAATTTTGTTACTAAGAAAGCACAAAATGGAGTTATATAATGTGACTAGGAGATAATATGCATAGCAGTTGCAGCTATAGGAATTGAACACTAGTGCCATTTTCATCTTAGCTCAAGGCTAATTTTCATCTTAGCACAAAATGGAGTTATATAGGCTGACATATGAAGTTAATTTTGTTCTTCGTTTATTCTCTCTTCCCATGTAGTGATATTTTAAAGAAAGATCTTCTTAAGGGTCAAGCAGTGAAAAGGTGCGTTGTTCAAAATAATAACTCTTGTAATATCCATGAAATAGGTTTTGTTTATCAACATCAAATTATTGCTCCTTGTTTAAAGCTTCTTTTTATGCCAGTCCTCAAAGTTGAAAAAAAAAGATTTATATAGTGAATTATTTTCTAATCGATGTTTATTCTTACCTAGTTTCTATGCCTTTTGTTTTCATTTTTCTGAAGGCTCTGTGGGACAAAACTCCTGAGTTCAGATTCTTGCTTCAGAATGCATTCTCAAGTTCACATGGAATCATGGATTACCACAGGTCGCTTCTGCATTTCCCCTTTTTTTTAGATTTTCGACGTGTTAAGATTTATGTTCTTACCTGAGAGGTTGTCTACATGAGCCAATTAGGTCTTTATTTTGTGATTCACATGAGGGTGTCAGTGCAACGTATTCTGACCTAGTTAGTGTGTGCAAACTACAGGCTTTACTTGAGAAGAACCCGTCCTTTGTTCAAGCAATGGATAGTATGTGCAAACTACATTTATCAAACTATTATAGTTATTCTGTAATACAATTTGGCCTTCCATTGTTGTGCATAATGTATCATTTTCCACACGATAAGAATTGCCAATATGTGAAAGATTTGTAGATATGCTTTGTGTATTACATTTTGTGTTTGAAGTTTTTAATAACCGTTTAAATTCTCATAAAGTGTTTAGCTTATAACTACTAGCAGATGAGGACACACTGTGTGTGTGAACAATTTCATTTTTATTTTTTGTTTTTGATTAAGGAGTGTGATTAGTTTTTAAAATTTTAAAAAGAGTGAGATAATGATAATTGGACAGTTTCTCTTAGTAAGTGCATATTTTTTCTTAATATTACATAATTATTGTTTTGCCCTCCTTATGTAAATATTGTCTATAAAAAAAGAAATGTATTAAAAGCGTAAGGCGTGGGCGAGACATCCGAGGCGAAGCTTGGCCTAGGCGTGAGGCGAAGCCTAACATGATTTATTTATTTATTTTTATATATATGTTTGATATATTATACATATAATTGTATAAAAATAATACTACGTAAAATAAACATCCATTCTCAATTTTTCATTCAAATCCATAGTCATTTAAAAGATAATATCATCTAAATTCATCATTCAAAGGTAATATCATCCAAATTCATCATTCAAAGGTAATATCATCCAAATTCATCATTCAAAAGGTAATACAAACAAAGAAAACAATCATTCATCCAAATCCTCTTCATAGAAATCAAAATACAACCAAAGATATCAATCAATCATCCAAATCCTCTTCATCTAAATAGAAGGCATCATCCTCTTCATTGCCAACTCTAGATGACCTTGTAGGGTATGTCATCAATTCATCAAAAGATTCTTCCAAATCATACTTCACATTTGTTTGACTTGAGGATTCTTCATTACCCCGTTTTCTTTTGTATGTAATAGGACCCTAAGGTTGAGTAGGCTCGCAAGGAGGAGGAGTAGAAGACTCTCTAGGCTCTCGAATGTATGGACCACCTTCATAAATCGGGGGTGGCACATTCCTTACGGCCTCAACATTATACAATAACTCATCCTCAAGCCATGTAAGATCTTCGGGAAGAACGGGATCTTCCATCTCCGTTATCCATTCATCATCAAAGGCAATTTCTTCTACAACAATAGGATCATACTTCTCCCTCCTTTTATGACTTCTCTGTTGTAAAGCCAAATTATACTTGACATAGGCTAAAGCATTAAGCCTTTTATGTTCAAGCCTATTCCTTCTTTTTGTATGAATCTACAAATAAATCAATTCTATTACTCAAGTCTAATCGTCTTAAGCAAAAATAACGCTTAAGATACTAATAATATATTTACTTACCATTGAAAATGTGCTCCAATTCCTCTCACATCCCGACTCACTACAATTAAGGCTTAGAACTTGGACAACAAACTTCCTTAACTCGGGTGATTTATGCCCAAAGCACTCCCACCAAGCCGCTAAAAAAACAATATTAGTAAGGTAAGTAATTTAAGTGTTAATGACAAAAAGATATTAACAATTGACTAATTAAATCTTACTTGGTGTTTGCTTTTTCCTAGTTTGCATAGCCATAGAATCCGCAAATGGACCACGCCTATCATTATATAAATCCAATTGACAATCGGCCTCTTCACGTTCTTTCCCTTTCCTAAGCATCCTATCCATGCAAGCAAACAAACCATTTCGCACTTCATCAGTACCTGAGAAATTATCATCATATCGAAATTGTGGGTTTAAGTAATAGCCTGCTGCATGTAGTAGTTGATGAAGTTGATCGTCCCATCAATGATCTATCTTTCTCCAAATAGGCATATATTTTTTTCTCCACTTTGTTAAGATTACTTGCAATTTTCTCTTTTACAGCATCCATCAACTCATATATAAAACCCATGGGAGGTCTGTCCTCCGAATCAACCTCTCTCAAAACACAAACAAGAGGAAGAACACCCTTAATGCAATAGGAAACCCCAAAATTCACGATCATATAACACATGATGCTTAGCCAACTTTGCTTCACGAGATTTTGCATAGGTACTTTCCGACCATTCTTGAGAGGCAAACAAAGCAACAAGATTTTCCTTTTGCTTTTGTAAGCTTTTTAGTGTAAGGAAAGAAGTGGCAAACCTAGTGACCGCTGGACGAACAATTTCCAAATTGTTGGTGTACTTTCTCATCAAAGCTAGTACCCATTGATGCCCATATAGATACTTTGAAATACACCTAGCACGTTTGAGTGTGTCATCAAACCATGCCATCTTAGAAATATCTTATAGCATCAAATCAATGCAATGAGCCGCACATGGAGTCCACCACACCTTCTCTTTCCTCTCCATAAGTTTTGCCCCGGCATTTTTGTAGTTCGAAGCATTGTTGGATATTAACTTGAACCACATTCTCCTCCCCAATTTCTTGAATAACATCATCCAAATAGCCATACAACAAATCTCCATTCTTAATAGAGGCCGATGCATCAATCGATTTCAAGAACTAAGTACCTTGCGGGCTATTGACAAGAAAATTGATTACACACCTACTTTTACCATCCGACCATCCATCCGACATAATAGTGCATCCATATCTCTTCCAAGCCTTTTGATGTTCCTTCATCATAGTTTGTACATCATCAACTTCTTCTTTGAGCATCCAAGTTCTATATTCATGGCTTGTAGGAGCATTAAAGCTGGGACCAAAATTGGATACCAATTTCATTGCATTAACATAATGTTCATTGTTTGCCGCATTGAATGGAATGACACTAGTGTAGAACCATCACACAAGTGCTCGGGATGCTTGTCTTCTTTCCTCTTTTTTGAAAGGTGTATTCAATGTGGTTTGACAAGCTTCCGATGTAACATACCTATCAAGTGGTCCCCTTGACCTAGGTGGTAGAAAAGAACCGGTTTGTTGTGAATGTGTGGCACTCACACTCCCACTACTTACATATGGTGTCCTTGTTGTGCCCGTATTGACACTTTCACTTTCTTCTCCACTACCACGACACAACTCATGGCTAGCTTTCCTTTTTTCTTTAGTTCCCATAACATTAGCAAAGCATTCTTCCTTAGGATGTCCGCACAAATCTTTCCTGCTTGATTTCATATAAACCTTAGCCTGATTTAGCGAAAAAATTGGCTTTTGGGCTACCATGGTCTAATTGACTGTCCTACTTTGTACTGTTTGCATTAACTTCATGCTGCATATGTTCATGTATAACTTCTCCTAATACATATCCTGTTTTGTAGGTAAATCTGGACGATCTAAGATGTCACAGTCATATAAGAACATTGATGGTGATGAGGATTGGTCATGGATTTCTGAGTTGCTGTCGAGGTACTCAGATCATAATTAGATATTCTGAGAGGAAGAATTGATAGGTGCATTATTTATCATATTTTCATAATAATTATCCCTATGTTTTGTTAAGGAATTGATTATAAAAGAACCTTATTACTTTCCTTTTCTCTGTTTCAGCCAATCTGCGCATGCAGGACGTCTTTGGTGATAATTCAACTTTCCGGAGGAGTTTTGATGCAAGGCCAATTGGAAAAGGAAGCTAAGAGGCTGAAGATCATTTTGTTCAAATTTTGTAATTTTCCATGAAGCTGAACATTCCAGTTTTACAAGTCAATTCCGCAGAAGTTGTTTTCCCGTCAGAATTGTGCAGCTGTAGAGAATGAAGATTTGAAGGCTTTCCCGATTTTTTCTAGTGGCATGCGATATATGCCTAGAAAGATAAGAGATAAAGCTATGTTTTCCATATTTTTATAGAATTTTCCAGAAGGGAAATGGCCCCCAAATCTGGCGTGCCAATCAGATGCCGTGTTTCCCAAGTTAGGAAGGATTCTTTCCTAGTTTCTCTCATTGATTATTTAGGAATTTGTTTTCTTTTAGGATAGTTTTTATCAGACTTTTTAGGATTTTATAGAATAAATAGAGGGCCCTAGGTCGTCAAAAGAGAAACGAAATACACAAGAAAATTCGTCCAAAGTGAAGGAGGACAGTTTAGCGTGCTCTTACCATTCTTTTCCGGGTTTTATCTTCCATGACTTCTTTTGTGATTTTTATTATGATTATGTGTAACTAAAATACTTTTCTAAGGTTTATGATGAAGCCATGACATGATTATTTCCGAAGTATCTTGTTGATTATTATTCGATGACATGCCATGTTTAGTTCTTAATCTTTGTGCTTAATCTATTCTAGTTTCGAATGTTCTTGTGATTGGCCATCATTGCGGACTTGTTTCTAGATATTTAGATAAATCTGAGAGGATAACCAATATCAATTAGGTTTATTGAAACTAAGATTAAGAAGAGTGGACAAACTAGTGAGGATGACCAATATCAAACTAGTCCTACTTGGTTGACATTATTCTTCAGTGCTTAATGGGTTTTATGTGTTTAATTGTATGCCTAACCAATAGGATATAGTTATCACGTATAGACACGATTTGATGCCTGACCAAGGATTAATTCATATCTTAGAAAGAACAACCTTAAATGTTGGCATGGTAATTGGATAGTAATCAGCTTGAAGAAAAGGGAATAGGATTGTTATTGGTGGATTCATGACCTTAGGCTTCCATCACATTAATTTCTTTCAACATTTCATTTGTTGCGTGTTTTCGTTATTCATATTCCTGGTTTAATTTTAAGTTAAAGTTTTAATTATTTTTCATAATCAATTAATCAATCATTCGTTTCTTAGTTAAGTTTCACGTAATTAACTGGTTGAATTGGTATTAAAAGCAATCCCTGTGGGATCAACCTCGTATTTGCAAATATTTATACAATTGATTCGTGTGTTTGCGAGTTTAATTTGGTTTAAATTAATCTATTAATTAGGTTAGTTTAAATAAACATCAAGTTTTTGGCGCCGTTGCCTCGGATTGCCCCTTAATCCCAACTCGGCTTGTTGATTACATTCTACTTAACTGATTTTTTTTTTTTAAATTTTATTTTCTTTTAGTTTATTTTTACTTCTGTTTCTGTTCGTTATCTTGTTTTTGTTTTCATATTCTGAAAAAAAAAAAAAAAAAAAGACAAAACAAAATCGCTGATTGCATAAATCTTTAATTGTCAATTGGACTTTTCCTTGTTTGACTGTTAGTGTCTGGTTATCATGGTCCAGTACATACCTTCTTCTTTTGGCTTTTAG